GGCAGCTCGCCGCAGCTCATCTGGCCAGGGAGCAGGTAGTCCAGCAGGATGGTGTAATGTAAAAGATGGTTGGTGTAAGAGCTGGTTGGTGCCAAGTCTTTTCTTGTTTTCCGAACTGCAGTAGTATGGTTACGCGCAAACCCCCCAGTTCGCCCACACAACTTCTTAGGGATTTTGGCGGAATATAAATTCCGACCCCGGTTAAACTTTACATTTAATTGGGAAGATCAAAAAGAGTATTAGGAATATAAATTCCCACCCCCGTTAAACTTTACTGGTACATTCAATTGGGAAGATCAACAAGGGTATTAGGAATATTCCCACCGCCGTTAAACTACATTCAATTGGGAAGACCAACAAGGGTATTAGGAATGTAAATTCCCACCCCCGTTAAACTTTACATTCAATTGGGAAGATCAAGAAGGGGATTAGGAATATCATTTCCCACCCCCGTTGAACTTTACATTCAAGTGGGAAGATCAACACGGGTATAAGGAATATAAATTCCCACCCCCGTTAAACTTTACATTCAATTGGGAAGATCAAGAAGGGTATTAGGAATAAAATGATGATGATGGTGATTATGCTGATGATGATGTTGATGATGATGTTGTTGTTGTAACCTTCAACGCACAGGTAGCCAAGCTTTGCGTTGCAAGATGAAAGCCATGATCATGGACATGTGCATTTTGTCCCACAAAACACATTGTTTTTTGATGTTCGGACATGTTGTCGGCGTCGGCGCGGGCAAACTGAGAGGTTTGCCCGTATGGTTACTTTTTTTCTTGATTCCATCCGCAACACACATTTGTTTTTTTTTGGTTCCTCACCGTTTTCCAGGGTTTCAATCTGGTTTCATCACTATATTGGAAATGGACACCTTTTTTTGGTCCGTTTAACTACTACCTCTTAAGATGATTTTGTAGTTTTCTTTGTTTTTTCAAACCATATCTCACTCCGTTTTCAGTTTCTGATGCCAAGCGGGGATGGGTCAAAACCTATTATTTCAGGGTACCATCCGGGTCCCAGGGGTTTGACTCATAGCCATATCATTCCCATTGTCCCAATGTTTGACCTATAAAAGTAATATAAATAGTAGTTTCATGTGACGTACATAGTAAAACATAGTAGGATCATGTGCCAAGTTGCCCTTCATCATCTCAAGTCTCTTTGACTTGACTTTGAAAGTGTTTTCTGGTGGCACCGTTGAAGACGCTGCGAGCCGGTTTCGGCGCCCGTTTGAAACCAGCAACGGCAAGTGTCGTCGCAACACTTGAGACCAAGATCTGGTGGTGCTAACCAACTAAAAGTTCGCCTTTTTGCTGGATATCTAGGATTGGCCATATAGCGTTAATGGGGTTTATAAACTAACACACACGCACACACAAACGTGGGGAAAAACTTCTGCATGGAAAAAGTCAACATGGAACCATGTCCAGCGGACCGTGTCCAGGAAGACCCGAGATAGAACGAACTAACCCGATACAATTTTGTATGGGTGACAGTCCATATATGCGGTATACCTCAAACTGAAAAAATGATGGTTTATCCCATCATAATCCCATATTATTTACAGTGTTTCATAGGAATCCCAATAGTTTCCAACTGGCGCAGGATTTCGCAACCATCCACAGTAGGAATTCTATCCCCTGGTCTCTGGGTTTTGGATGGAGCAACCCTGATGTTACAATGTAGCAGGTACCCTCTGGTAAACCTACAAAAAACTATGGAAAATCACCATTTTTAATGGGAAAATCCACTAAAAATCACCATTTTCAATAGCTATGTTAGTTTACCAGAGGGTAGCGAAACCAATAATTCTGGATACTGTAAATTGTAACGACCTCTTATTTCAACGTTACGAGAAATTATGCTTCGGGATAACGGGTTGGGATAACTATCCCAAAATGTCCCAGGCAAGTATTTGGAGGTTTCCTAAAATAGGGGTACCCCCAAATCGTCCATTTATAGATGGATTTCCGATTGTAAACCACCCATTTTGGGGTACCGCACAAGGCGGTGGCGGAAGTTTCAGAATAGGAAACCTATAGGAGACGTTGGTTGTTGTGAATCACGGATGGCAGAGCGAATCCACTGATTGACCGAAAGGTGGTTGGAGTTGTGTTTGCTGGAGTGGTTGCAATGGTTGCAGTGGTCACCTCACCCACAACTGCTGGATGTAGTGTGATGTACTGCAACTGTAGTTGTAGTTGTAGCGTAGTGGAGTTGTAGTTGTGGTGTAATGTAATTAGTGTAGTGTAGTTGCAGTCATATAGTTGTAGCTGTAGTTGTTTTGTAGTTGTAGTTGTAGTTGTTGTAGTTGTAGTGTAGTTGTTGTTGTTGTAGCTGTAGTTGTTGTAGTGGCTGTAGTTGTAGTTCTAGTTGTAGTTGTTGTTGTTGTTGTTGTAGTTGTAGTTGTAGTTGTAGTAGTAGTAGTAGTAGTAGTAGTAGTTGTTGTTGTTGTTGTTGCTGTTGTTGTTGTTGTTGTTGTTGTTGTAGTAGTTGTTGTAGTTGTACTGTAGTTGTTGTAGTTGTAGTCCTAGTTGTAGTTGTTGTGTGTGTAGTTGTTGTTGTTGTAGTTGTAGTTGTTGTAGTTGTAGTTGTTGTGGTTGGTGTTGTTGTTGTTGTTGCTGTTGCTGTTGTCGTCGAAGTTAGGGTAGTTAAGTTAGTGAAGTTAGTTAAGTTAGTCAAGTTAGTTAAGTTAATCAGTGTCTACTTTTTCGACATCTTAACGTCAAAAAAGGCTCAAAACCCTCAGTTTTTTACACTTTTGACTTCGAAATGTGCTTCGCGCCACAACGGCGTGCACTTTTTCGACATCTCTGAACCTCCAAAAGTGGTCCGAGACGAGGTGTTTTGTACATTTTGACTTCGCGAAATGTGCTTCGCGCCACAACGGCGTGCACTTTTTCGACATCTCAACTGCCAAAAGTGGTCCGGACCTGGTGTGTTTTGTACATTTTGACTTGGAAATGTGCTTCGCGCCACAACGGCGTGCACTTTTTCGACATCGCAACTTCCAAAAGTGGTCCGAGGTGTTTTGTACCTTGGAAATGTGGTCGCGCCACAACGGCGTGCACTTTTTCGACATCGCAACTTCCAAAAGTGGTACAGGTGTTTTGTTTTTACTTGGAAATGTGCTTCGCGCCACAACGGCGTGCACTTTTTCGACATCGCAACTTCCAAAAGTGGTCCGAGAATGGTGTGTTTTGTACATTTTGACTTGGAAATGTGCTTCGCGCCACAACGGCGTGCAATTTTTCATCGCTCCTGTGGCCAGCTGGGTCCGCACCCGCCGCTTTAGCGAGCCTACTTTTCGACCCTCCGGAGCCACAAATCATTGGAAAAACACAGTGTTTCGCGACTTTTCTACCTTTTCGCGCATCTGTATCTTCTGTCCTCTTACTCTTTCTCTTCTGATCTTCTCTCTTCTAAGCTTCCTCTTCTCTCTGCCTCTGCCCTGCTCTGCTTTTCATCTGTCCATATTGTCGGAAGTTTGACTTCTAAACTTCCTTCGATAACTTCAGAATCATATGCCAGTATTTGGCACCTGCATAGGGCAGTGACTGGGCTGCAAGTTGATCCTTAAACGGAGAGCCGTACCACAAGTTCGTGGTGGATGTGGTCATAACATGTCATAACTTTATAGTCGGACCCAGTGGATGTAAGCGGTTTACAAGCACTATAGAACCCCTATATATATATGTATATATACGTATATATTATACACACACACCATATATGACTGGGGTGCCACGGAGGAAAATTGGATCACTCTAGATTGACCCATGGTCACAGCACAAATGCGGGGCTTACGATTGGCAAATCTGACTTTCAACTTGAACCAAAGTTGGACGCCGTGTAATGGGGGTAAAAAAACAATGCCATAAACCATCCATTTGCAATGTGGGGCCTTTTAGTGATGTGAACGTTGGTTTATCAACCCCATGAATACTATAGTTAAGTACAAGTAAATAAACCATAGCTATCGAAGGCTCCACATTGTGGGAATGGTAAACATACCACCTATAAAAATGGTGGGTTTATACCACCCGACAAAAAATTGTGAATTCGGGGATGGTTTATGACATTGTTGGAAACCCACATCAACCATCATTAACCATCATTAATTATAATTCATCACTCTTCACCATTAATAATTATCATTAATCATTATGATATCAACCATAATTAATCATTATCCGCACACAAAACCACGGTTCGCGGTTCGCAACTGTTCGGTTCCCGAAATCTCGTCGTGTTGCGTGGTGAAAGCTCCGGCTGGCCTTAGCTGCTCCCGGTTCTGCCGTGTGCGGCAAAAAGGGCACCGTGTTGCTACGGGCGGTCGCCAGTGAGGCGGAGGATTACCACAATACTTGGAGAGTTCGCCCAGAAATGGAAGAAATCCCGGTGCAGAAGCACTTAGCCCTGGAATGCGTTTTTTGAGAGATTCAGTGTTGGTTCAGGTGGAAAATCGCTGATGTTTACTGTAGTAGGTAAACCCTGCGCTTGGATGCGCTTGGCTGGTTGAATTTTCATGATCTTTGTTTACTCAAGGGATCTACAGGCTAAGCCAACAGCTTTCTGCTTTTTTTTGGACATTTTTGACCATCTTATCAATCTGTTCTTGCCCAAGAATCTTTAAAAACCTTATATCTTTGGGGAATACTTAAATAGAAACCAGATTTAATTCCTAGCTTTGGCACTGAACATGGCACCAGTTTAGAGCCATCTTTGTCTCGATTTCAGCTGGGAAGGCCTCTGTTCTGGAGATCAATTGAACCGTTGAGACGCGCAGAATCGAATGTTATTCGTCATCCTACTAAAGCTTAAAGGGGGTATTTGCTTTGTCTGAGAATCGGGAACAAAAATGGATGTCGTAGAGTTGTTAACTTCATTTTGCCTGTGAACATTGCAATTCTTCAGGCTAACCCAATTCTACAACAGACCCATATTAAGTTTGGTGATGATGTCGTTTTCCTGTGCCATCCTACCCAAGGCCAAACGTGGTGAATGGAAAGAAGCGAGATACCTCATGAAAGGCGCGCCGCTTTCAGAGCGCTGCTATGATTCATGCGCATGGTCAATTTACTTGGGTAAATTAAACAGATAGGTGGATTGTCATCAATATCATTGTGGTTTGAATATATAATAATGGTTTACAATGGTTTATAGTGGTTTATAATGGATTAATTGTTTACAATGGTTTATAGTGGTCTATGATGGTTTATAGTGGTTTGTCATGGTTTATAGTTGTTTATAATAGTTTATTGTGGTTATATATAACCATTATTTCTAGATTCCCACATACCACATTCATCCCATGTTTTAACCATACAGCGGTGCATATGAGGAACATCTACTACAACGCCGCCATGGGGCAGACTACATCTTATCATTCCTCATCGAATGGATGTTTGATAATGGCTGTTTGAGCATATTTTGAAAGGGATCAAAAGGGAAATACAACGATAATTTAGTGTATTTGGGGGTAGACTATTTTCAGACAAACCCAGAGATGGGTCAAAACCTATGAAATTACCAGTGCAAGGTGGTGCCCCAGTTCGGAATCGCTAAGTTGGTGAACATAACTCCAATTTCACTCTGGGTTTATGGTAGATATTAATCTATACTATTCCTATGGTTATAAATTTATAAACCAACAAACATCACTGGGGGGGGCACCACCTTGACTGGGGAAATCACCATCCATCGATCCTGCCAGGTTCTTTGGTACCTGGGACGATGGCGAAAAGTCCCCCATTGACATAGATACACAGAACGGCCCCAACCATGGGGTTTTAGACCCTCCAGTTGTGGATAAAACACAATTTGTCCTGAAATTCATGAACCCCACGGGGGTTTTCTTCCCTCCAGACCTACAAATCCTACGAATCCGCTGGTATAGATGGCCCATAGAAACTTCGACGATTGACCTATCGAACATGGTGATTTTCCAGTGCGCTATGTTGGTTTTCTAGAGGGTAATAATAATAATACTAATATTAATAATATTATTAATAATATAATATATATATACTATTATATACTAACCATTAATCATTATTTACCCTCATTTTACCATGAATTATTAATTATTACATATATTAACAATTTATATAGCCCTATTTTTCAAGGGCTGGTGCACTCAACCACCGTGCAGCACCACTTTACCACCCTGTGAGACGGAGTGTCCCGGATTTGTCCAAATGCGCCGAGGTATTTGGCGACGACGCCACTTGCGACTGCCCTTGGGACGGATGATGTGGAACAACATGATCAAGGCAAGGACCCGGAGTGGGGAACAACCTTGGATATTCCTGGGATTTTTTAGAAATAATTGGATATGATTGGGAAAAAGGATGTTGAAAAAAGGATCAAGCTTAGAAATTTGAGATGTTTGTTTTGTTGTTGGATATTATGATTTATCCAACAAATTACTAGGTTTATTCAACAATAATGTGTAACCATTTGTTGTAATGTTCTTATTGTAAAACACTAATAATAATTCAACATTATTTTTTATGGTTAAACTATCTAACATTAGTCAACCATTTAAGGGATGTTTCAAAGGGTAGAACATTTGGGATGAACAATCCCACGGATTGGTCCTTTACAGACCTCCATGAAAAAAAAACGCAGATTTTCGCCATGTCCATGTTGAGAGGGACATTGTGCTATGTTTGATATGTGAATCTGCTGAAGGTTTTCTTATCTGAACCACCGAAATCGATGCGGCTGGCTGCGCCTGTAAAAAGTTACTTGATCAACTTAGTACACCCCATGGTATATCCGAATCTCTCATGAACTAGGTTGATCTCCCTCATTTGTTAGTTACAGTTAGTTGACCTAATGGCTCATGGGCGAGGTATTTGGATCAACCAAAACTGATGGTCTACTTACAATAATATTTACCATATGTAATATGATATATATATATATTCCAACATTATGTAATATGATATAATATGATATAATATGATATAATATGATATATATAAAATAATATGATATAATTTGATATAATATGATATAATATGGTATAATATGATATAATATGATATAATATGTAGTATACACAGTATACAGTGTATATATATATATATACACTATATATATACAGTATATATATACATATATATACAGTATACACATTAATATGTATATGTATATGTATATGTATATATTATATTATCTTATCTTATCTTATATTAAATTATAGCATATTATATTATATTATATTATATTATATTATATTATATTATATTATATATGTATATATATATATATTATGTATATATATATATATATCATTTTGTATCCCTTCCATCAGATCCTGTCCCTCGATTGGGAACTGATCCCAGGCGCATGCGAATGCCAAGCGACCACTGGCGGCTGAGAGCTGGCTGGAGGCGATTCTTCTGGGGAATGTCTGAAAAACCATCAGGGTTTATCTGAAAATTTAGGGGAACACCCCATGAACACACTGGGTTCAGAAGGTCATGTTCCTTTCAAAAAAAACATTTTCGGGGTATTACCCCATTTTCAGACACGTTCATCAAGTTTAAAAGTCATAAAGGTGGGGATGTGAAGTCCATTAAAAAGTGCTAAAAATGTCTGGGCTCCTGAAAATAGCGGATAGCCATAAAAGTTAGCCATAGAAGTATAAAACTGCAATTTCATTGATTTGGAACATGATTTCTGAACTATCAAACTTGGGGATACCATATTTTCAGACAAACCCAAATGTTTTTCCCTCTTGCAGGGTTACTCCAGCCCATTATAGGCAAATTATAACCACACAGGGGGGGGGGAAATTACCCCCGTTGTACCTAGGGGCTTGCTCCCAACGAGCGAAAAATCATCAAACATCTTGTCAATGAATGTGTTAAATCATGTTAATTCACGAGTGTATCTATCTCATAAATCAGTATCAATCGTGTATCATGTGTATCTTTTCTCAATCATCAAATTCAAATTTATTGATACTGGGTGTTATACTGTATCATGATGTATTGTGTATATCAAATTATGATCCCAATATTCATGTGCATCTTTTCCCAATCACATTTTTTTATCAGTATCAATCATGATGAAATATCAATGTTTATTGGTTTGCGGGAAAATTTACTTCGGAAACCCTTCATTCATTGATGGAAAAAACCATGGGTTTCCGGTTGAGATTTTCCCCTTAGTTTCCAATCCATTGATGATAGTTCAAACGGACCTAAATCTTCAAAATCTCCAGGGTGACAGGTTGGAAAAACCAACCGGCCCAACCGGCCTCACGTTGTGATGGAGTGATGGCCAGGGGAATTTTATGCCGAAACTGGCCGGAATTTTCAAAGTTATCACAAGACATACATCGATTTTAACTTTTTTTAAGAGACAATGATCCTTAGATTTTACATGGTTTTCTAACTGGTGGTTTGGAACATTTTTTATTTGCCATAATATATGGGATAATCATCCCAACTGCTTTCATAGGTATACCACCAACCAGACATGGTTTTACATAGATTAATACATATTCATACTAAAATGGTTCTTACATATTCACCAGAAACACCATTGGATGTGCATCTGGGTTTTTCAAACCCATTGGAGGTACCTGTTTTACTTTTTAGTTGTTAGTCAGGGGTTGCTGGGGACAGGGATTTTCTAAGCATGGCTAGTCGGATCTCCATGCTGCTGGACGTTGATGCATACGACGCAGGTATGCATGGAATGATCCTCCAAGTAGCCACTTACTGAGTTACTTACCCATGATTAATGGTCATTAATGGTGATTGAATGGTGATTTAATTGGTTTTAATGAGATTTAATGGTGATTAATGGTGATTTACCCTCTGATAAACTAACATAGCTATGAAAAATCACCATTTTTAATAGGTAAATCATCTATAAATGGCCATGTTCAATAGCCATGTTCAATTGCCAAAGGGTATTAAATATAAATATATATATATGATTGTGGTTGGCTTGATGCTCAATGTTTGGTGGGCCCCGAATACTTTGCTCAGTTCGTCTATAAACCCACCCAAGTGTATGTTGGCAATCATTACAAATCCTTGTTAGACTATTTTTGAACCAATTTAGCTATATAAATGACATCAATCCCATCATCAAAGATATATAGTTGTTGTCCTGTTTAGCAAAATGGCAGAAACTTAATTGACATCACATCGTTTCGCATTTTTTTATACCCCCACTTAACATCATTTAATTTAACATCATTGAATTATAGAGATATCAGCTGGTTGGTGGTTTGGACCATTGTTCATTTTTCCATATATTGGGAATGTCATAATCCCAACTGACGAAATCATATTTTTTCAGAGGGGCAGGTATACCACCAACCAGTCAGATATCTATGATATCTACTACAAATCCACAAATCCACGAACTAAATGGGCAATTTTCAATAGCTATTTTGACATACCCTCTGGTAAACTAACACAACTATGGAAAATCACAATTTTTTAATGGGCACCACAAATCCAAATCATTCAGTTAGAAACCAACTTCACTATCGTTTGGCTGCCCCCCTTCCGAGATTCCCCGGTCCTAAGTTGCTAACCTCACGGGCAGGACATGCTTGGACGTGTGTTTCAACCTGATATAGCCAGCTACTGGACGATCGAATGTTTTTTTCCGCTCCAAAAAATCGCGGACGACACCCACATTCTATATAATCTAATATATATATGTATATATGTATAATATAATATGTATAATATGATACAATATAAAATATATATATATGAAAACAATATAGATACTATGACTATGAATACGATAGAGATATAACAAGCAATTAGAGGTTCTAATGGGAAAATCATGTCAAAATGAATGTAAATTGTGGACCAATGCCACCACGATCCCGTCATCCCAGGGCCCGTTGGGGGTCCCAAGATCTTCAACCTCTATCGGGAATGGTTTATCATCAGGTTTACCTTTGGTTATTTGTTTATACCTTTGGACCTTTGGTAATTCACCGTATGGAACAACAGCATGTTTTTTTTAGGTGAATCATCTGTAAACATATTTTTCAATGGTTCTTTTTCCATATGTTAAATTAGCAGAGGGCAATTGGATTGGTTCAATTATCTTCGGAAGACAATGATTATCATACCTACCAAAAGCCACTTGGCAAGATTCTGAAGAAAAAACAATTTTGGGGTATGACAATCATTATATATCCTTTTCAAAATTACGGTTGTGTGGGCTTACAGTCATTTTCACCATTCGAATTGCGTGTTTTGGTGTGTCCGCAGGTCTGGACACGTCTGGATGCGACGATGGCAGAAATGGGGTAATGTCAACTCCGGATTAATAAACCATGAATGACATTAAATTGTGATATTGTGACCATTTATTAAGAGTATCATTGACTATTGTGGGGGTACCATTTTTGAATATTATTAAAAATATTAATATACCATTAATACCTACTCCGGTACCCTCCAAATAGTCGCAATATGATACATAGATGGTACACCCCAATTAAACAGCCGTTTGTGGTTTATTAATCAAGGGTTTACATTATATGACACTGATAGAAATTTCAATTTTAATCAACAATAACAAAGATTACGAATTATAACAGATTGCCCTCTGTTTGTTTGGGTATCTCAACTTGGTCACGTTAATTGCAAGCTAATAGTTGACAAAAAAATCATTTGGATTCGTTTTTTTTGGTTTTTGACCTGGCACTGCAGCACTGCTACAGCAGGTTACTCAACTGTTGGTGGTTGCAGCAGGTCAAACCCCGACTCCACGAGACCGGGGCAATGGGAAATCCACGAGACCGGGTGTTTTCCTGGATAGCAAATCCACGTAACTAGGCAAAAAAAGGGGTTGAAATGCTGGAGATATTTGGAATGCAGAAATATAATATTGAGGATATTATGATCTAGACATATAGGAATATTGAGATAATATAGGAATATTCAACTCTGGAAGATATATATATATATAAATTGGAATATTGGAAATATTGGGCAACGTAAAGCAAGAAACATAGTTGCAGGTTCCAAAACTCTGTGCCTTCGGTCAACCAGTAAGGCTACAACAGCCTCCTGAAGTGCTACGGTCAAAGAGGTGACTTCTTGATGATAGAGAAGTGGCTCCTTGACAGTACGAGTTGTGGCTAGTGAATGGTGAGTAAATGGGGTCAATCTGGGTTGTGGGTCAAGAATGGGTCATGTCTCATGTTGAAGCATCCAGTTTGGAGGGTCAGTTTTGACCCTGACAATTGAGGTGGATGAAATCATACCACCGAGTTGCAGTTTGGGACAAATGATAGGGGCTTCAGCCATCTTTGGGACCATTGATTGTGGGTGTTCAATATTAGCCTGGTTGGTGGTTTGGAACCATGGAATTTTAAAACTTTCCATTCAGTTGGGAATGGAAAATCATCCCAACTGACGAACTCATATTTTTCAGAGGGGTAGGGCTCAACCACCAACCAGATAAAAATCATCATTCATCAATCATCATTAACCATCATTAACCATCATTAACCATCATTAACCATCATTAACCATCATTAACCATCATTGACCCTAAAAGGTCTAGTAGGGACCCTAAAAAGTCGCCGTGACCGACTCGGCAGTCATCACCTGGAAGATTCGCATCGACTCGACTGCATTGTGCAGGAAGCCTCCATGATAGTCAATAACACATGCCTTTAAAAGGAAATAACCCCTGGTAAACTAACAGTTTCCTGTTGAAAATGGCTAGAAATAGTTGATTTACCCATGGAAATAATTAGCATGGTGATTTTCCATAGTTTTTTGTATGTTTACCAGAGGGTAGCCAAAATCTGCGATGCTGAATTCGAAGATCGTTGGAAGAACTGGGGAAATCTTCGATGGCTACTTCGGATTCGTTCACATTTTAATATTTTGCCATGTATTTGCAGCAAGTGCTTCCGACAAGTGCAACGTTTTGGTGCAAGACACAGGTGAAGCATAGTAAGCCTGCAGTCCAAGATCCGGGAAGCAAGGTGAGTTAGGTAATGTTAGGTACATATTCCAAATCTCCCAGAATATCCCAGATATGGCAGTGTGTCAAAACCTTGTACCCCTGGTGAACCTCAAAATAGCTGGTAAATGGATGTTCATTCCCCTAAAAATGGTATTAATAGGTATTGATCCATACCCATATAGACTAACCAACTTATAATGGCAGAAATCAGAAACCAGCTGATCTCTTCTACGAAAAAGCTTCCAAAAAACCCCTTGCCACTCAGGATGCGCAGGATGAAAGCGCGCGGCGTTGCTCCAGATATGTACAGTTTCTTGGTGTCATGATGGTTACAAGTTGGCGCTCCGTACAAGGTGGTGCCCCCTAGATAGCTAAGTTGGTTTATAACTCCCATAACTATGGTTTATGGCAGATATAACTATAGTTAATGGGGTTTATAACCCAACTTATAACTGGGGGGCACCATCCTGTAGCTAAGTTGGTTTATAATGAATTGGTTTGAGAATGATTTCAGTTACAGTAATAACAGTAAATCGGCAAAAAAAACCAACGTCTAACTAGGGGGGCCCGCCTTGTAATGGTGGGAAGTACGCCCTTGGATGGTCCCCTAAGTTAGTTGAGTCAATGGTTCAAAATTGAGTTAAACATGTTGTAACATGTTATAACATGCTTAAAAACATTCACTTTACCCTCTGTTAAACGTTTACCGTTAACTATTGAAAATGGCCATTGAAATAGTTGATTTACCCAGTAGTAGCATGGTGATGTTTCATAGTTTTTGGTATGTTTACCAGAGGGTAAATCACCATTAATCACCATTAATCACCATTAAATCTCATTAAAACCCATTAAATCACCATTCAATCACCATTAATCACCATTAAATCTCATTAAACCCATTAAATCACCATTCAATCACCATTAATCACCATTAAACCTCCACCCATTAAATCACATTCAATTCATTAAAACCCACAATCATCACCATTAATCACCATTAAATCTCATTAAACCCATTAAATCACCATTCAATCACCATTAATCACCATTAAACCTCATTAAAACCCATTAAATCACCATTCAATCACCATTAATCACCATTAAATCTCATTAAAACCCATTAAATCACCATTCAATCAAAATCACCATTGAAAACCCATTCAATCACCATTCAATCACCATTAATCACCATTAAATCTCATTAAATCACCATTAATCACCGTTCAATCACCATTAATCACCATTAAATTTCATTAAATCACCATTAATCACCATTAAATCTCATTACCAGGCCGGGTAGAACTTTGATTGACTCCATGTCAATGGCAACAAAATTCTTCCGGATGAAATCATCGAATCCAGTCGGATCATTCTCATGGGATGATATATCCACATATAGTATATCTATTCTATATCTGGTTGGTGGTTTGGAACATTTTTCTATTGGTACTATGATTTATCTATAATCTACATATTATATATATATATATGTTATGTGTATATATATATATATATATACATATGTTCTGGTTGGCGGTTTGGAACATGAATTTTATGACTTTCCATATATTGGGAATAATCACCCCAACTGCCTAATATTTTTAAGAAGGGGTTGAAACCACAAACCAGTATATCTATTCTAGATCTATATCTATTCTATTCTATATCTATATCGTACTGGTGTTTTTAGATCCATTCAGCCGTAATGATCCCTTCCCTCTAGTATTGAAAAATCATGGTGTAGTAGGGAACTTAGAAGAAAATTAGGACCATACCATGAAGGTGTTTAATATTAGTACATACCATCCGGTCATCAAACATGGTTTGCTGGACAATCCACCACTTGTAGGACAAGTACCATTGCCAGGTCTGATGACGCCGGAGGGTATATCCACCAGCAATCCAACAATTGGCTTAGCTATAAATGACGTGAACTATAAGCTGGATTCAGATTTGGATAGATGGGTGGTTTAGAAAGGGTAGGACAAGTTTATGTTCAAACATATCCTAGATGCTCGATGTAACATGCATATCTCATAATCATCACTCACATTTGATGAGATCCAACATTGAGTCATTGAAAATTCACTGTGATAGTTCAGATGGGCCATGACCCCAACATGCCCTCATGTCAGATTGGTTTCAAAAAATGCTTAGAGGAACTGAACGGTTTGGGCATTCAAACCTTCAACTGGACCAGAACATCCAAGTGTCGGTGAAGCCCCAGCTATTCACTCCCCTATGGTATTTGGTTTGTGAGGCCCAGGAGACTATAGATTCTGGTGATTTTTAGTATTAAGCGTCATTGTTGTGGGTGCCACGGTACCACTAAATTTTAATCATGCTTGATACTGAAAATCACCAGAAATCGTATAAAAACAGCTTGTTAGTGCCATCATTTTAGTCTTACACAATGTGGGGCCCCCGTTTACGATAGCTAAGTTGGTTTATAAGTCCAATAACTATGGTTTATTATACTTATAACATCTTATAACTATAGTATTCATGGGGTTTATAATCCAACAAACATCACTGGGGGGGCACCACATTGTATGAACAGCTCGGCACCAGCTCACATCCGCCAGCCATTTCGACCAAGGTTATGGTGCCTTGGTGCAGAGCTACGTGAAGGCGAAGGATGTCCAAGGAGCAGATGCTCGGCCTCTGGGGCCTCTGGGGCGGGGCCATGGCCACGCATGGCCAGGATGAGGATGGATGAGGTATCACCATGAAACGATGGGTAATTAATGGTTATTAATGGTTATTAATGGTTATAAATGGTTATTAATGGTTATTAATGGTTATTAATGGTGATACCTCATGATGGTTATTAATGATATGATTATTAATGATATGGTTATTGATGATGGTTATTAATGATTGTTACTAATGATGATTGATGCTATGGTCAATAAGGGTAACATATTGGTGAATCATGCTATGGTTATACTGATACAACTATTACATTGTGGGACCCCCAAACGATACTGTAAGTTGGGAAACATAACTCCAACAAAAAAGGGTGTATGGTAGATATATCGAACTAGTTTTCACGGGCATAACATTTACCGCAACATTCACAGAAGGTCTGGGGGCCCGCCTCGGGTATCACCCTGATGATTTCACAGATTGGGAGCCCCCATCCTAAAACGGAGCTACCCCAATATGTAGCTGGATGGTTTATTTCCATGGGAAAATCCCAATCTGAAATGGATGACTGGGGGTACCCCCATGACAAAACGGAAACCTCCATTAATATCTACTTTTTCTATACGTCACGATCATATCTACTGTGACCATCTAACTGATCGACTAAATGGAACTGCTTTCCACGTATGACGCTGATTTCGCATCCGCCTGTTGACCTGGCCTTTCCAACCTTTGGCATGGCAATGGAAAAAAAGACACCATGCTTGGAGCCATCAAAAATACCCTGGTTAATTGATTGCTATAGGGGATTATATTACCTGGTTTACTGGGGATTATGATGGGCCCCATAGGGAAACCGTTTTCAACCAACTAGTATTTCATGAGGGGTATTTTTAATGGCTCATTTATGAATGATTTTCCAATGAGCCACGTTTTGATTACCGAAGATCATCCAAAGAAATCCTTGTTGAAAACAAGCCAGACATATGCGCCTTGTTTTCTCAACGGGTCACCTAAAAAACAACAGACATATGCAGACGTTAGACATATGTAATTCATGATGAATTCTACAGCGACCTTACTGGCCAAGCGAGGAGATATGTGGATATCAGGGGAAACTCCTCAAATCTCATTGATATCCACGCATTTATTGGTGAATCTCCTCAGATGTTAATATGGTGGAGATCAAAATCTCCTGGATTTCAGTGTGTTTCTCTGATTCAGCCTGGCTGCCCGGCTTTGCAGCGAAACTGCAAACCACTGCCTGTTTGCCTGATCTTCGTACTGGTCGTCAAATAGAAACGACAACTGAACACAAATTTTTAAATACCCTTTGGTAATCAAACGTGGCAATGGACAATTCCCCATTTATAGAGGATTTTACCATTAAAACCACGATTTACAGGGGATTTCCCAGCGAGCCACGTTTGATGACACCGGAGGATAGTTGGGTTAATCAACTTGGTCTATGGATTGGCCAACTTTTTTTCGGGGTATATATATATATGTATGGTTGGATTGGTTGCACTCAACTTACAGCTGGGGGGCACCATCTTGTAGCATCATGACGTCTCTGTTTATTTGCAGGTTGCGAGAAAGGACAAAGACAAAGGTGGCCAACAGCTGGCAACAGGACGAGACAATGCTTCCAGGCGTAGCGTGGGAGCAAGCTCGCTGGAACAAATATGTCCCCCAGAGCTCGAAAGACCTGCGCCAGCTCAGGTCCCAAGCGGGATCTTTGAGGATGCCAGAGTATAGCCTCCGGTCAAAGCTGGCAATGGGAAATGCCCTGGAAAAATTAAGGGTTTTCATCGGAAAATCATCGAGGGAGGATTCGATGGGATATTACCATCTGGTTATGACTAACATAGCCATGGAAAATCACAATTTTTAATAGGTAAACCATCTATAAATGGGCCATTTTCCATGGCTATGTTAAATAACCAAAGGGTACTCGTATTAAATTAGTGGGATTGATTTACAGATGGATTTTCAATTGCTCCGGTTCGATTCCCCGATGGTATTTCTTGCGAAGTCAAACTTCAAGCCTTTGGCCACTTCATGTCCCACTTTCCAGCTTTGTTCCAACCGTACGTGGATAGATATGGATAGATTACCAGCCATAATGGACGCAAAGATACGCAGAGTAGTATATCTACTTACCATTTCTTACCATTTTTCCACATCTATCCATCTTGTAGCATATTTTCCCATATTTATCCATTCTTTATCCTCATTTGACCTATTTGATTCCAGTTTAGCACAGCCCCTCCCAGCCGGTGCCATGTTTTCTCCAAGGAAAAGGCGCTGGATGCCATGACAAGCTCCAGCTGCACAGTGGTTCCCAGCAACACCTTCGCGTACAACACGCTGATGAAGCACTACGCCTCTGAGGGAGAGGTGCCCAGCTGAGTTCTTATTTCAATTAGATCAATATTAGCTGACAGCCTCGAGAAAGGGTTGAATCCAGCCATCCAGCCCCAAGGATGTGCATCGGAATGCCAGTGGGAACCCAATTTGTTTT